GAGAGAGACAGAGAGAGGAGGGGATTGTTGCAAACAGGGATTTGCAGCAGAGGGGAAAGAAAGAAAGGGGGCAGTGGCACTCAGTGACAGAGTGCTATACACACTCACATGCGCACACTCACACACTCTCTGTTTCCTCTGTGTCTCTCTCCAAACGTGTCAGTCAACCAGTCAGTTGATTATTTTTGTGTGTGTGTGTGTGGTGGGGGGATGTTGAAAAGAACTCGATACCATCCTTCATCTCTATGACCGACGGTAAGATCATTTCATTCACTTTGACTGTCATGTCTCTCACGTCAGGCCTTCATCTTTCCCAACTTTCATTCTACTTTTTTCTCTTGTGTGTGTGTGTGTTGCTCTTTTTTTGGCTGGCTTTTTGCCGTGACTCTGGTCCACAGCCAGTTTGAGGCCTCGATGGAGCCCTGTCACTGTTTGCTTTCTTTTACAATCCATTTTGACGCACAGGGGGCAAAACTAATGAGCTGTGCAGCAGAGGTACTAGTCAAAGGTGGATTTTTAATTAGATGTTCATTACATAACACTAATACTATTATATTTGAAGGCCTGTAATTACTGTTGTCTGAGGGAATAGCTTTGTTCTTCTACAGCTTTCTTTGATATCCTTACTGTATAATGTTGAAACTACTGAACTTTTTATTGGTATTCTGAGGACATTCTCAGTCTTTTCAGTTTGATCAACTGTGTGTGAATGTTTTGAATTGTTAGATGATTGTTTAACTTATTTGTCACCCTGAAAACAGAATATCCTGTAAGTTATTATACACTCTTTTTTCATATAAGGTTTATTTCCGTATGAAACAAAGGTTGTTGATCTTGAATCTGACTAGACTTGACAGAAAAAGAGTTCTCACATTCTAATGCATAACATTTAAGGTCAACATACTTTTTTTCACCCCTGTGGCCAAATAAAAATGTGTTTCGATTCATTTTAGAAATTCTTGGGCTCTGGATTAAAGTCTGAACCTGTTGATAATTGGATTTGGTCACTGAGACTAGATCTTTCTTTCAAAAATGATTAAGCCCTCTGAATTCTTGCGCTTCAGTCGGTTATGTGTTCAGTAGGCAGATCCTTCTAGAAATATTACGTTATATCTATTGTGTGCGTCTGTAATTACATTGGGGCAATAACCTGCAATCATTTCTACACAGAAAAGAATACAATACTTAGCAGACAGAAGATGAGTCATTTTAGATGAACAAATGTTTCCAACATATTTGCTTCACATGAAGAATTCTCCCTTTCATAGATGAGATTTGGCATTACTGGCCGGAAAGAGCCAATGTGACGATCATTGTTCGTAACTGTTTATAGAAATTAAATGGAAGAAATAGTTGAACATGCACGAATTTAAAGTTTCAAGTAAATTGTAAAAGCTTAGACTCAAGAAGACCTGGTTCATCTGTACACGTCACAAACCTTTGCACATGCCAGTGAACATGCACGTGTATGTGAGTGTGCATGCGTTTATAGTCGTGTACATGTGTGTATAAGATGTTGGGCAGGGGGGTTGTGCGGCAGATTAGAGTCTTAATATAACACACAAACAGGTCTGACACACAGACTCACACAGTCCAACTTCCTGTTGAACACAGTCAGAATGACCTTTTTGTCAAGGTATTTATGGTAAAATCATCTTTAAATTAATTAAGGAGTTTCAAACACTACAGCCAGAACCAATACAGACATTTACAAACTGGTGTTGAACTGTTTTTGATGTTTATAATCCATACAATTAAATTAGTTTAATGAACTTAATACATACATTTATTGTAGGAAGATCATGTTAATATGTTGTTAATAACTGGACTGGTGTTGAGTTCATTTTGGGATGAATTTAAGACTTAGCTAAAAGGCAAAGCAAGTTCCATGCTGAAGGAGGATGCTTTTATAACCTGGCAACCAGCAATTTGCTCTTATTAATGGCTGATAACTGATCTATGAAGCATGAGTGAGTGATTGAAGGGAAAATTTTACACATCAAAGTCAGTTTACAAGTGGTCAGTAGTAATACCAAACTAGTTGCTAAAAACCTTTTTGGGCTCCAGAGGGAGCCACGTGAAATCTGATAAACTGTCTCCAGTGATGTCACTTGAGTCAGCGTTGGTTGGGACCAAAGACTACAAGATTGAATGTGAATAAAATCTGGGGGTGTGGAGTTAGAAAGAAGTGAGCTTACCAGATCTCTTTGGCTGCTCCTTGTCTTTGCTCGAGGTTACATTTGCTGCAACAAATCTAGCAGTTGAGTTGCATTGTGGGTAATGCAAGCACAATTTTAGACAAAGCAGAATTATGTGTGGAATAAAAAAAAGGATATCTTTGGTTCTGCTGATTTGATTTTGATTCTTTGTTCAACTGTCCATCAACAGTCATTGCTGGAGTACCGAGTAGAGTACCTTATTATAAAGTGGTTCCAAAAAATGCCTTTTGTCTTGTCTTATTGATAGATTTATTCCTGAAAAATGTGTAACACTGTTCCTTTCTCTTGTTCCTGTACTCCAAACCCTCTCATTCCACTCAATCCTTTCTTCAGGACAAGAGATACAGAGACAAGGACACTGGGACAAACAGTTTCTCACAGAGGAAACTCACCAACCAGTCTACTTCCTGACATCACCACTGCTGCTGTCTATGAGCTGCACTGAGGCAGAGGAGTGGACCTTCCAACAATCCTGACATACGGAAAAACCCTGTTGAAGCTCCACCAGCAGCAGCAGCAAACACCATGTCCTCTCCTTCCCTCCCCATGCCCTCTCTCCCCCCCAGCCCTCTGGCCATGGAGTACCTAAACGACTTTGACCTCCTCAAGTTTGAGGTAAAACCTGACACTCCTCCGCTCCCTCCTCCATGTTCGTATCCTAAATCTGGCCTCCCCCATGACCCCTCCAGCTCTCCGTACACCAGCCACCCTCCGCAGGACTCTAGTTTGAGCTCCAGCCCTTACAACTCGCTACCACCCTCGCCGACTCTCAGTGATGCCCACCCGCCACCTTCAGGCTCTTCCTCCCTCTCTTCATCGTCCTCGTCCATCTCCTTCCCCCTCTCTATCTCCAACAGCTTCACATCCGGCATCAGCTCCGGCTCTCAGGGGAACGTGGAAGGCAGCCCGGCCCACGGTGGGCCTCAGGGTCCCACCCCAGCCTCCCTTGAGGACTTGATCTGGCTGGCTGCACTGCAGCAACAGTTTGGAGGTGAGGTGACAGGGCCCGCCACTTTGCTGGGAGCCTTGGGAGGAGTGCCAGAGCGAGGGGACAGAGAGAGGGGGCCGGTCAATGGCTTTCTAGGCTGTGAGGATGCTGTGGAGGCGTTACTGAACTCAGCTGCTGCAGCTGTCAGCTCGCAGGTACCAATCTGTCATTTCTGATTCTTCTCTCTTATACAGAATGTTGTTATAAAAGAGCTGACTTGAGTCTACAGCCTCCTCTTCATCTTCTTCATCATCAGTTCCCAGGTCTTTCTCAGAGTTCAAGCAGCAACCTTGGAGACTCGAGCAGCGACAGTGGAGGAGACATCTCCTGCGCTAAAGGGACAGACATGTGCCATCGCCCGCTTGTCTTCCTCTCCTCTGCCCCGCCTTCGCTTCCCAACGCCACCCCTGCCTCGGCTCCCTACCCGCAACCCCTCAGCCCCCAGGGCCGCCTTCATCACCACCAGCATCATCATCATCAGCACCACCCGCACCACCCCATGCATGGCAGCCATCATCATCATCACCACCCACAAATGAGTCAGGTACACGGAGCTTCACTCTCACATATCAGTCCAGATTGGGTGGGACAGGTTGATAATGCTCGACAGGAAATGGGAGATTTTTGGAAGAATTGATGTGACAGTCACACAGAGACACTAGAGGCATTAGAGGGCTGAGCGGAAGGAGAGAGGGATCGTGCAGTGAAGGATTAGGATTAGGACATTAGAACATGGTTATTAATGTCTGTGCCTATCTGAAGTATCACTTTAAGGATCGCTCTCTACATGGCAACAATAAGTGAAGCTCAAGCTTTGTCTTTGAGGGCGCAAAGTTTCTCAAGGAAAAACGTGTTTGAGACACCCCCACCCATTTAGCATTTATAAGCACTACATACACATGCTTTATAACACTTTATAACATAAGTGCATATTAATGTACATTTATTATAATGTACATGCATTTGTCAGCAATTATATACATATATATTTTACTCTATATTGTTACCATATTGTCATTTATTATCTGTTAATACACCAACTTGGTGCCAGTTATAGGTGCTGACAAATACATTGATAAACACTTATATCTGCTTACAACTATGTTGTAGTGTGTTATACACCAAGTATTAAATGTTTTTATACTGCTTATAAATGATATTTGTGACAATTTAAATGACCAGATTTGCTTGGAGGAGAAATCAATTGCTACTTGAGTAAAACTCAGTCTTGAATGCTGTTTGAATGTAATTTTAATTGGTGAATAAACTTTGGTAATCTGGTCGATCAAGATGTCTGGGTGGATCTCTATATGGAGCACAGTGTGAGCTTATGATAATATCTGCTATTATTGCTGTGCGTAATCCTGATAACTGTCACCAACACTTAGTCAGATTACATGACAGATTATGGACATGTGGTGCCGAAATGTGCCCCCTGACAGACAAACACCCAGTACAACACATCACATGTCCACCACTCATATGGCAGTTATATATATTCAAGTCCTTGGATAAACATACTTCACACTCATCTGACTGGTACACACTCTAGCATGTGTCTCGTAGCCAAATTAACACTGAGCAACAACATATTCTCTCTGTGTTTTCTCCATCTGCTCGGCAGTGCGGGGTGAACGAACGCTTCTCTGATGAGCAGCTGGTGAGCCTGTCGGTGCGGGAGCTAAACCGACACCTGCGTGGAGTGAGTAAGGATGAGGTGGTGCGCTTGAAGCAGAAACGCCGCACGTTAAAGAACCGTGGCTATGCGCAGTCCTGCCGCTACAAGCGCTTACAGCACCGCCACGCTCTGGAGTCAGAGAAACATGTGCTCACACAACAGGTACACACATATGCTTGTATTTATGGCTCCACTGATAAGCTTCAGTCCAGGGTAGAAGCCCTAAATTCTGGACCTTGTGCACAGGCTTTCTCTGTGGGCCCCTTTTCCCCCCAGTCCTACGCCCCTGTCTGAGTCTCTGTGCATCAACACTTTATTTGACCCCAAACTTAATCCTAAATTTAATACCAGCATTGTGGCTCAGCAAAGCACAAATACATTTGAACTTTTTTCTTTCCCTCCTCAGTTGGAACAGCTACAGTGTGAGCTGACTCGAGTGCTGCGGGAGAGAGACGCCTACAAGGCTCGTTACGAGAAGCTCCTCAGCACAAATCATAGCATCGGTGGCGGCGACGCCCCACCGACCCGCACCAGCAACCCACCTTCCCCGCCCCCTGACTACTTCCTCTGAGTTGAACCCACAGGGAGAGGAAGAAGAAAGGAAAGAAAAGAACTAGAGGAATGAGTAACAAGACCAGCCAACATGGAGCAATCAATGATGAGTAATCAGACTTGGGGAAGAAAACAAGGATGTGTATGTGTGTGTGTGTGTGTGTGTGTGTGCATGTGTTTGTGTGTGCGAGAGAAAGTGAAAGAGAGACATTGGCAGACAGTTCTGAGGGCTATACAACTGTGAAATCCACCCTTGAATGATTAAAGGGGAATTGACTGTTAATTCATAGGGTTAGACTCGGCTCTAGGCTGCTGCATGGACTTCAGTTTAACTTCACTGTGAATGAGAGTTGCACAAAAAACTGCTGAGAGCTCTTTGAGATCTTTGGCTTCTGGTATCAGTGCAGCAGTGGACAGACAAGACTATGAAAACTGATGAAAAAAAAGCTTTATCTAGCATTAAAACTCATCAATAGTCCCTTACACTGCTTAGCGTATTATCTATGCATTAAATAGCTGCAATGTACTCTCCAAATGAGTGGTTGAGGCTCAAACTGTAGTTGTGTTTTTTTTATAATAAGCTGCTAAAGCTGCAGAGGTCTGAGTAGTGCAGTGGTGCTGGATGTGGAGTGGTATGGGCTTGGATAAAGTATCCACGGCATGCAGTTGTATTTGCCAGCTAATATTTCACAGTTGCCTACCAAAGTGTTTAAGCTCACCAAGACTTGTTATTCTTTGTAAAATGAATAATCATAGATTAAAGAATGTACAAGGATACCTTTCATGGGGATCTTCCAGTGATTGTGCTAAATGAAATAGTGGGGATATTGCTCTTGTGTTTTAGCAAAGAAATCTACCTTTTGCTAGTCAACAAATGGCGACTTTCAGCCAAATAACAGCGACACTTACTGTTTGCTCTCAAAAATGGGTTTCTACATACAGAGAAGTGGAGCCGACAGTGTGCTTATCTCAAGTGACTGCATATGGTAAAGGAGAGAAAGAAACCCATCGCAGCAGGCGAAAAAAAGAGTGTGGCATGATTTGTGTGGTTGTGTCCAGTTCTCCAGACTAGAAGAACCTATTTCTGGGCAGACTGAACACCTCTGTAACAGGAACGAACACCAATTTATGCAAAATGCGGCACCACAGAGCTGGTCACTGTGGGCTCTGGTACTGTGGGCTACGGATGCAACAGAAAATTAACGGTGCAGGGATAATAAAAAAAAAATGCAAAAAATCTCTTCGTGGAGACACCTTCTTAACTGTCCCATGAAATCATTGCCAGGGTTCATGCATTAGAGCTATTTATTTTGTTTGGGTGTAGGTTAAATAAATTGTTCTTTTATTTATTCACTTATTTATTCAGTATTTATTGTTTATTTATGTACTGATTCTAATTATTTTACTGGTTTTATTCCATTAGCGTGTATTTTTACTTTCCTACAGTTTATTATTTTATCCAATTGTGGTTAGAATTAACATTACTACAAAAACGATGGCCATTATCATGGTTTCCTGCTCCTGTTGTAGTGTGGTTTCATATGCATATGAAATAAACAAAGTACTTTACCATCCCTGTCATGCTGTGGTGTGTTTTTGTGCACCTTGCACTCAGGTTCTAACCCCGTCCCTTTTCCTTTCACCTATCTGAGCATCTCCCACGTTCAGTCTTCCGCAGGCCTTTTCTCTGCAGCTCGCCCTGCAGCCCCCATGCCCTGCTCCATCCCTCTCTTTATCTCTGTCCCTCTATAGTGAGGCAGTGACCCTGGGTGTGCAGTGTTTGGGATGACCTCATCTTCAGCTCTACCTCCCTCTCTGTGTCTCTCGCTCTCTCTCTGGCCTGTATAATAGGAGCAGGATTAGGGCTATAATAGCGCCCTGGCTGCTCACTGCCGGAGTCTATTGTGGCTTTGTGTGGGAGGGACGCACCACCGCTCATGGCCACACTCACATTTTGACAGAAAACATGTCCAAATATACACTCCTTGGATCAGGGACAAGAGTTGCCTTGATTTAATAAAACACAAATGAGTCATGTGTGTCTTCAGTGAGGACACAAGGGAGAAGAAGAGAGAGACAGACTGATAGAGCTGATAGACAGGTAGGTAAGTTGCCATATGCGTCTTGCTACCAAAGGAATACCCAAATGACACATTTTAAACATAAATCCCGCAGGGACACGCACACAAACACACACACACACTCACAAAGCCAATTAGTGAGGAGAAGACTTGGCTTATGCTGCCCCCTAGCGGCCGTTTACCATATCGCCTCCATCTTCCAGAGGTCAATGAGAGCTTCGTGACACTGAGCATCTTTCCACAGTGCTGCTCCCCGCCTGCCTCCCTGCACCACCGCTCCTGTAGTAGTGCTGAGCTGCACGCACCTGCAACAGCAAACAGTGCCAGTGCGTGGGTCCTCCGGGGGGGTTGCCAGATCCAGCTCTCCCCTGCAGGAAGTCCACATATCTGCGTGTCAAGTCAGTGAGTCACAGTCAGTGGTTTGCAGAGCGGTGATGAATGACGGTG